ACATACATACATACATACATACATACATACATACATACATACATACATACATACAGACAGACAAACAGAACCACATTTATCATCACCCTCTTCATTACCTGTAAGGTGAATACACAGCCTCCGATTTGCCCACTGCAATTTTCTGGTACAGGCGTTGTGAGAAACCTGCATTAGCCTTTGACAGTTCAGCGTTCCCATGCTCGTGTCTCGCAGGAACTGCCAACGTGGCAACAGCCAAACAGGCCAGCAAGATCAAAGTAGACGCCATTTTTTGGAAAACTGGTTGACGAAGGACAATGACTTTATTAACAGTGACAATCTTCTTGGCCGTTTCCTAAAGTCGGAATCGAGCATAAAATACATCAAGAGACAACAAATAAAGTGGTTTGGACATGTAGATCTAAGGAGAACGGGGCTGCATCAGACAGCCTGAAAAGATGGATCATAGGAGTAAAAGAGACTATCCAAAGGAAAAACATGACAATCCAAACAGCATTGCACCTAGTCCATGTCCGACAATCGCATTTCCCGCCGACACCTTAATTAAGGTATAGGAGGACAGAAAAAGGTTTTAAAAAGGAAAAATTCTTCTTTACTCACGATCTCATGCTGTCCTATTGAAAGGTAATGTATTTGAACGACCAGACGTATATTTGCACAGTGCAAATATACGTCTGGTCGTTCAAATACATTACCTTTCAATAGGACAGCATGCAGCGTAACGTATTTTAATGTTATCTACACCCCAAATGTCAGGGAGATAAGAGAAGTGGTTGTGTGTTTGTGTGTATGTGTGTGTGTGTGTGTGTGTGTGTGTGTGTGTGTGTGTGTGTGTGTGTGTGTGTGTGTGTATGTGTGTCTGTGTTAGTATAAACATAGGTCTATTTCAATTACGCCAGGAGTTTGAATCGTTCTCATTGAACTCTGTAGATATTTTGAACCAAAGACTTTGAAGAAATATTATGTTCAGCTTTATGAAGATGAAATATGGTGACATGGTGGGTGTAATGGTCTTATTTTCTAACCAAGTAGAAACCCGTGTCTGTGTTGTAGCGGCTATGTGCTTTGCTGTTGTGGGCAGGAGATCAGAGTTAGATTTCCGAGAGAAGAGACGTTTAATCGGGTGTCTCGGTCTTTTTGCTAGGATGTAGGGCCTAATAACCATCTCAGCGTAGATTGTCACTGATAGGCGTGACTGAAGACGGCCTCATGAAACATCCAAATTTTGTCGATTTTGGTTTTGAGGGAGCTTCTATATGATACTGCACATGAAAACAAAACAAATCAAAATAACAATAAAACATTAATTAATAACAATAATAGTGATAATCTAGAAAAAAATAAAGAAGAAGAAGAAGAAGAAGAAGAAGAAGAAGAAGAAGAAGAAGAAGAAGAAGAAGAAGAAGAAGAAGAAGAAGAAGAAGAAGAAA